AGTGTAAAGATTTCAGATCAATTTCAATGTTGCCTGGTAGTAGCAGATCCAGCTATATCTAGCCCTACCACACACTGCTCCAAAGGTCGCGAAATGTTGGAATGGGACCTTTTCATCGAGATTGTAGATTTCGATGGTTTCGGGCGGGGTCCCGGCGAATCTGGCCCACGCACAAACCGCGCTGCAACTGAATACTTTGCTGTACAGTAATGGAACTCGCTTTTTCACATCAAATCAAAGTTAGAAGGGTCGTATCAAGACCCCCATGTGAGGGGGGGACTGGGTGAGGTGACCACGTCCCCGACACGATTTTCACCCTGCGCGTCACTAATACGTGGACACCCCGCCCCGCACTTCGTTCCATGCGCCTGCTTGGCTCCGCTCAGGGGTCTGTGAATTGTCTACAAGTGTAGTCCTCAAGGGTTTGTTTCTTTTTGAAAATTGAATTCTTGCCCACTGCGTGCATTTTACGAACTGAACCTTCCTACAATACAACCAGTGGTCACATTATCAACGTCAAGATTACTCCTGCACGCTTCCACGCACAAGTCCTCTGAGACGTGCACACACAAGTTGTGAATAGGGGGTAAATGAATAGGGAATAGGGTGTGAAAAGGGGTCGTAGACGAATACGAGGCGTTGTTGTAGCGCAAGGTGTCCTAGAAGATATGTTATTAGGCACAAGAACCTATCCGCTTCGCCTTTCATAACGAGATTACTCACTGTTCGCCAGCGCTCCTCGCTGTGCTCTCTCTTTACCGTCCGTCATTCAATCACATCAGTGCAGTTACCTTTCCTAACTGTGTGCCTCATAGACTAAACTCATCCACAGCGTATGAAAAGGTGGCCTGTAATTTCTGTATTCGCAACAGTTTTTGCCTCCCTCTCAATTAGTGATTCACTTCGCTTTTTACTTCCATACTCAGTAGTACAGCCAAAAGCGCTCGGCAATCATTTGAAGCGACACACTTTCGGGAGAACTCAGCATTCGAGCAGGATGAGCCATGGTAGCGACATGTTCCTCTCTGTTGAGGTCTCAACGGCCGATGCACCATAATGTTACTTGCATCTCACAAGTTGATGCCTACGAACATTTTATTGATGTTCATTCTAAGATACATCACAAAGCAACCACCGAGAGGCAAAACGGAGCGCGAAAGCGCACAGAGCAGAAAAAGCCTCTCTAATCTCCCAATACAATCATTTTATACCCACACTGTTCCTATGCTCCGCCTATCGTGAGTTCCCTCACGACACAACGACGCAGTCATTCTATTATCCGCATTCAAACTACAGCCTGCCAGCCTTAAAGTCGTCTGATGAAGGGAGCGTTTATAGTTGTAAGGATAAAGCTTCGTCGCTGATCAATCTCTTTTTGCGATGCGGCATACATTCTATAACACTTTCCGTTTGTACTATTCGTAGTGGTCCTTTGAATGCGATGTGGCCCATACAATGACTGCGGGCAGGGTCAACCGTCACGTTTGGACGACATTGGACCGACGGTTAACCGCTCTTCCGCGCCGGCATTCGCCTCGCCTTGCGCGAGCCGTCTGTGTCTCCGTGGGTACGCTCACTCTCGGCATTACTCTCACACGCTAGAGAGCCATGCGTTGGACTTTGTCCAACGGACGGTTGACCCTGCTTGCGGGGCAGCGAAAACAAGTCGGCGTTTTTATCCCCCCAGACAAGTCTGGTACCAACTGATCGGCCCCGAGGGATGAAAAGCTTTATTGGCTCCGAGGACGCACGACCCCAAACCTCCATTGATCCCAAACACGCGCGTGGTAAGCAGGTTGCCACTTCACGGCTCTCGCTCGAAGGAGCATTTGTGCGTTTGTATTATTAGTTTCTGTCAAAACAGGGAAAACTGATTTCAAAGTTTTCTTCTTGATTTTAGTTCAAGCTTCCAAATACCCATATCCTTTGAAATTCTTTCTCACCATTTCCGGCACTCGATTGAACTTAGTTGTTTTCGATGCCCAGCTCACACTCTCGAACCCCCTCATCGTAAATCCTTCGGTCTTAGCCCACCCTGCATTCCATTCATGCATGGGCCACTATAAGCCGAGTCTCCTGCTATGCACATTTACTGGTGCCTTCAAAACTGTTAGTGGGAGGAATTAGATCAATCTATTGGCCTGGACAACGCAATTTCGTTCTCCACTCGTCTGAACACCTTCACTCATCACTTCCATCTAGCAAACAAATTCCGCGCTTACTACATCCTGCTTCGAAAAAATCCGCTTGGAAAGGCTAGATAAGGCAGATTAAGCTTAACACTACACAGTAAGTTGGGCGCCTAAAATCTCTAGTGGAGAGACTGTTTATGTGCGCAGCAGGTCTATCTAGCTACTTACTATTCAGCACAAAAGCTCAGTGCAAAGTACTCAGCAAGGAAATGTAAGGGGAATGCGCGACTTTTGCTATGAATCGTGGCGACACTTGAATTGATTTTAAACAATCGGAAAAGGATAGAAGGCTTGCTTGACCTGAGCAGGACCCAGCTCTGAAGTGGGTTCCTGGACCATGCATGCGACCTTGGCGTACTTTTACTTCACTGATGAAGCTTCCCTCCGATGTTTGCATATTTTGCCATTTACATAGGAAGGCGAACGCTGTCGACAGCCGCCATTCAGAAAGTTTGTTTACCCCTCCACAAAAGTCTAGCAAGGTCTCCACAATTTTCAAAAGCTTTTTTTGCAATTTTTAAAGATCTCCTGATTCTCTATCACGAGTCCTGGTTTTAACATTCTTCCTCCACATGATGTGGAGAAGAAACACTGTAACAATCTGGCTTGGTTGCACATTTTCAGAACTATGGGCATTTCGGGTGCAAACAGTTGCATAATTTTTCGCAGAGGACCTTCCTGAAGTACTAAGTTTTGGTTCTGCAATTTCGGATCAAAAGGGCATGGCGTAGCACCACAGTGTCGCGAAGTGCTTACAGCGTTACTTGCTCAACCTTAACACCTTACAGAGTCCAGTTTACTTCCCATCTCTTTGAATATTACTAAGATCCAATTCAATTGTTCTCCTAGTGATCCACCGTTGTGCTCATCACATTGCAAAGGACAAGGACAAAGCCATCTACGACAACGACGTCGCCTACGTTTAAGCCTTTCAACAAGTATTTCATTTTCTCGCTCAATTACATCCTACATTTGTAATGGTATTGGTGAAACTCTGTTCTCTCGACACTATCATCTCTCATTCTGAGCCAGCGCGAACCGCTTCCTCCTCACATGCACACTATTTCACGCACCCTCTATTTGTGCTCCTCGGCGCAGAACAAGAGATGACGAGAGACATGAAACCGACTCTACTGCTTCCGGTACTGTTTATCCGCCTCATTCACGTTTTCTATAAATATTTATTCGATTCTCAACGGTTTGAGGGAGAAAATGCATACAACGAAAACACAACAGATCGATGACAAGCATGGTTCAATATGACAACACCTCAGGAAAAATGAGGCTTATATAAAACACTCCTAAAACAAAGAGCAAATGTTATACTTTACAAGATTCGACGAGGCACCTCGTTTGGAGCATGGATAAGAATTTCCCAAAAAAAAATCAAGAAAATGCATAGAAATTCTGTAAACGAAAATCAAAATGCTAAAAATGTAAGCGAATGCACGGCGGCGATTTTGGTCACCTAAACCCGAATGCGATAGCAGTGACACGCACACGCGCGCCTGCGGCGGCGGTCAGGATTGTGTCGTCACGGTTCTGGGACTGAAGGGTGAGAAGAGGGACGACATCATAGGGAAACAGAAGGACAAGCATTAGTGTGATGAACGGCTCAATTCTACTATCTACACTCGAGATCAAGCCTTCGTACGCCTGTGTGTGTATGTGATTGTGCATGATACGACTCACTAACGCATAGAAAGTAAGTATGTAAGTAACACATCGACGAGACGGCAACTGAGAACAACCATGTCTAAGCGAATTTTACAAGCGAAACGTACGTACACGGAGCACTAGAATGAGAATGATGAAAATGAGACTAATGCAAACAAAATCCTGAATAGAACAGAAGCCGAGAAGGCACTGCATGGTCATGGATTTCGTGACGGAGATGAGCAGAAGCGCGTCGAGCGCTTTGCGGCAGTGCTGAGATGCCACACATGGACATTGGACAAGACAATTAGATCAATAGCAATTGATTCTATAGAACGAAAATTTAGACTTCGGACTGGACAGATGTCGCATATGAATGCGGCAGCGGTGGACGAGGTGGTGGCTGTGAGGCGACCAACGGTGGCGGTAGTGGAAGCAGTGATGGTGCCGGCTGACTGGTAAGAGGCAGTTCAGCAAACTTCATACCTTCGTGATAGCTGCCTGCGTTCTAAACACAAAGCAACATGAAAAGCTCTACTACTCTATTCACACTGAACGTCACGATGTCACATCGATAGCTCGCGCTTTACAGCTACCGTGCGTGCTGATGACATCGTGACGTGGTTAGAATGTGAAAGGTGAGAGAGATAGTTTGATAGAGAGGCAAACCAAGGCTCACATTATACAGATGACATGCGGGAGTCGCAGTAGGCGGCTTGCACGGCCAGATCGTACGGGGTATTCTAAAAACGACGAGATCACGGTTAGCTGTGTAGGAGTGAACGATAGCAGTAAATGTGAAAGGAGAACGCCGGTGAAAAGCCGTAGAAGATACGCGATGGCCAATGATGCTGACGAGAATCGCACGAATGTTGCACGTTCCTCACTCGTACTTTATTCGCTTCAAGCGACAGCCGATTAGTAGTAACTGAGGAGCAGCAGTTTCTTTCTTTGCTGCAATCGTTCTTCATGCGAGCAGTAAGAAAGCAGGCGACAGCGATGAAAGTACGAGTGTGGCCTGCAGCAGCGAAGCCGACCACAATGGCAAAAAGAAACCATCAATACAAGGGTAAGAATAACTCTGAAGGTACACTAGAGGAGAGGCTAGGAGTGGTGTGGGGAAATAGGAAAATGTGGGATGGTGATAATGCATTAGACGACAGCTTCTCGGCTCAAATAGACACCCATGGCCGGCTCGCATACCTCGACGGATTGTGGCGTATACAGTCGTGGCGCGTCGGCATCGTAGAAGTTCTCACGCACATTTAAACTGAAATAGAAGACAAATTACAAGAATTAGAAATTAAATGAGAAATAATGAAGGAAACTCACTTAGCCTTAGCTTTCGGCTCGTTGTAGTCGGACTGCTCTTTTATTTCTGAAATATTGGAATCTTAAAAGGCTGGTTTCATATTTATTGAATTAGATTTTTGAGGACTAATAGAAAGGTTCGACAGCACAGGAACGTCGTGTTTGAAACGCGCTTCTATTTCCAGTTGCAGCAAAAGGGTCATACACGCGTGCAGACGTGGCGCGACGACCATGATAAAAATCGCACAAATTGCTCTGTTGAAACTGACACAAGTGCCTATATCCCTCACATTCTAGGTAAGCTCAGCTGTTAAATATTGAAACGTCGCGGTGGTGCGTCACGGTAACTCAAACCCTGTATAACAGCCCTTTAAAGGCGAATTTGACGATTTAAAGGTAGCTTATTGGGAACAAGGGTAGAGTGGTTAGTGAAGTAGGGATGAAGAAGAAACCACGTGAAACAGTTCGGAACCCGAAAAATGGGACCGCATCCTGGCCTGTTGATTTTCGCGTTGACGCTACTCTTGTGGTAACCTCGAACGCCCTCTGCTATGTCGTAGGGCGTTCCGCGCCAACTACGTCAAAGTGAAGGCTATGCCAGACCGCCGGGGACATATCCTACGACGCGAATTGCATGTTGGTCCACACCCTTAGGAGGTCCGCCTGTCTCTCCACTAAGTAAGTTTCCCGTTTTTGGCCTTCATTTTATCCTGGAATCCTCCTTCAAGTTGTCCTGGTCCTCTTCAGACTGAGCAGAGGTGAAAGTTTTACTAAACTCACTGTTGAAGCAGAGCACTCCTCGTCTCACACAGAATGCCACACAACAGACGAGAGCCAAGCAAATCGCAATCAGAACGAAGAAAGCGATCCACCATCCTGATATTCGTGCGCCACTGGTTGCTCCTCCTCCCAGCAAAGCCTCTAGTGAGACAGGAATCCTAAAAGTTGCGAAATAACAGGTGCAAAAATTGTAATTAGAAGTATTGAAGGTGTTCAAGAAATTGTCAACAGAAACAGAACACTAAAAAGTTGCTCACTGTTTACTGCCGTATTGGTTCTGTAACCGCAACTCGATAACTCGGTACTGATCTTCTTCCCGAACTGGCGCCACGTTTAGCCGAGCAAGGTAGCAGTTGGGTACGGTGTTGTTTTGAGTAGTGCTCTCGAATCGGAAGTTTTCCCACGACTGACCGATCTAACGTTGACAGATATTTTCTTCACAAAAAAGTTGCTTGTCAGTTGAGAATCGTAAATATGACCCTATACCTGTATGTCGTTCTTGTCAATACTGAAAATGACCTCCCTCGGTGGTCTCGGCATGGGTTCCGCGCAATAATGTACAGTAACGACAGCATTATTACTGCCAGGCGCCTGAAACATTACTCGTTTACCAAGCTGAGGCAAAGAAGCTGTGGCGAGACGGGAAACTCTAGCACACAGAAAATAGTAAATCCAGAGTAGTACATTTATGAAAACAAAATACAGGTATAGGAAAGGAAAAAATTAACTATAAAAATTAACTAACAACACAACCGAACAAACCTGTTCTATAGTTGGTTGGGCATCTGACTGCATGGGTGGTCCGGTAACTTGAATGTTAAGTGTGTTTGTCCCAGGCGTCTCCAAAGCTGGAGAGCATTCTGGGGCACCCTGGCTGACATAGGAACATGCCGAACACCAGTACTGACCGGAGAGCGAATAGTTCGAGACGCGGAACGAACAGATGGCATTAAGACGCTGAAGACCGAATGATTTACGATTTGACACCTTGTAAATAATATTGCAAATCGGATGAATTAGAAAGAGCCATTAATGGCGGAGGGCACGCCTAAATCATTAATTACCATACCACGACATTTGGTGGGATAGGTCGTTCGCGTGGTGGCTCGGTGACCTCCTGGTATTGTCCGTCAAATCCTTGAGCACAAGGAGCGTCAACGACCTGCAATAAAGGCTGATTGGCACATGCCAATTTCCTCTACCCTATTCTCTTCTGAAATGAGCAAAACGCCCGTGGAATCTGCCTCCAAACTAACCTGCCCGTTCGATTTGCGCAGTTTCCAAAACACGACTGGACGTGGATTGCCTTCGACTTGACAGCCAAGATTTATCTGCTGGTTCATTTCTAGACGATTACCGGCTTGAAACGGAGCCGCCGACTGAAGCGTGGCGAAGTTGTCCTGGATCAGACGAGCGGACGCTGAACGAACGTGAAATACAGCGGTGCTTTCAACAGCGAATCAAGTAATCCAGCTAGACCTCCATCAATCCCACAGCGACTTTTACATCATTGTACATATGAGTTTTGAGTAACGTACAGTAAGGATCGATTTGAACGGCCTGGCTAGTCGCCATTTCAGTGTCCGAGTAAAGGCCATTGTTCGCTTGACATTGAATACTTTGGCCGATCATCTCAGTGCCAATTGTGATTTCCGCACCATTACCACTAAACCAATGCCATTTAGACAGGCACCTTCGTGCAGGTGATTTTTCGGTGTTCGCCGGTTACTCACCTTGTCACTACTCCGTTCTTCAACCACCGGAACACAGTGGCTGGAGGGTGCGCCTGGACAGCACATCGCAGCGTCTTTCGTCGTCCACTTTGTTGACACAGGCCATCGGCTCCGCGAGCGCATTCCACATAAAATCTAAACGATGACGTCATTTCCAGGATTAAACAGGATGGAGTAAGTGATAATGGGCGTACCGGTAGCCTTGGCTGGCGATTAACACGGGTCCCTGGCCGCTTGCATCAACTACGTGTGGCTGACGCAAATAACGAACATCGACGGTAGCTGGCTGCGAATCGACCGTGCCTGTAGAAAACCTCGCTAATGTTATACTCATATCAATATATTTTTTCAATCTATTTCCCGAAAATCCACTTTTTCAAATTTTTTACTATTTATTTGTGAAAGAAGCTGCGGCCAAATTTACCTCCATTGAGAGCCGCTTGACACATGATGGTGGCTCCAGTCCAGTTCGTATTAACGGCAACATTGCTTAAAGCGACTGTCTGCAAAGTACAGGACTACTGTTTCGGGATTACCAGTAAAGTGGAACAATTGTGGAAGAACGAAAGAATCGTGTGGGAAGAAAAGGTCAAAGAAGAGCTATTGAGAAGTAAGTGGCCGAAAAAAGTAGCGTGTGAAAAGGGCTATACCATCACGAACGCTTTCTCCGCGCTAACGCTTCGGCTGGGAATCGGTTCGAAACATTTGCATATAAAACAGTTTGTTCGGGTCCCACGGGATTCTGATGTGCCACGTAGGGTCGATTTCCAAAAGTCTTAGGGACGATAAGATTCGAATGCCATTGAATTGCATTAGTAGTAATACTCGAGTACCTTTCTCCCGGCTATATTTGCACGATGGCTCACATTCCCAGATTCGCTTGCTAACAATACACCTCGTAGCCACAATTATTTATTTTGGCACGAGCGATTGCTCAGCGTTGAGGATGACCGTTCTCATGGTACTCGAAGGAAATGTGAATAGGGCCGGACGAATAACTCTTCAGATAGGTCATATTTGCCGCGATTGCAAGGATCCATGCCGGGTGAATGCATCATTTTTACGCCTTGTCATAATCTCACTTCATGATTAATCATCCATTAAAATAATCTCCGACTTAAAACCATCGAGCCGCGCCGACCACCGGTCAACGAGTGCTAATCCATAGATAGAGCGGTGCCTTACAGGGCGGCGGCGCCATCGTCGGAGCCCTTTCGACGCGCATGGGACGCTTAGCCTTGACCCCGACGTTGGGGCTTATTTTGCCAGAATGATCAGGTAGCCAGCCCTTCTGGACGAGACACAATGAGAACGCGCTGCCGCTCTACCCTCACCTCATCCACATTCCTAATAATTACCAGAAATTGGGTCATATTAGTTCCTCATAATTGTCGCGATAAAGGCTTTCTAATGAAGAATTAAGTGGAGTGAAGGTGAGGCGGATCTTCGGGTCCGGAATTCGCGCGGCAATTTCTTTCCTGATATTAATTGAAATCACTTTCACACCATTTATGAGGCAGTCGCAAATGGACTTGGACAGGCTCGAAGACAAAGAAGCGGAGACAAGGCTGAGATAGCGCGACCTCATCTGCGTCTTGGCCTTTTTATATCAATTTCTTATAGATGGAATGTTCTTTTGAGAAGGAAAGGCTCCCGTGCGTACCGTATTTTTTAAAGAGCAACAAAGGCGTCAAGGTGACGATGAGTCAGGACGTGTGATTAGAAACCGAAAGGCCGGTGGCCCCGTGCGTAGCGCAGTGCATGCGCGCTTTTATTTTGTTGACATAAAAAGGGCACGAAGCGCATGCACTTCATACAGTTGCCGTGATGTTCCGTGTTCAGTAAAAAAAAAGCGAAACGAGGATCGAAATGTGAATGAATGATGATCATATTAACGGTACGTGATAAGGAGACCTACTGGAAAGCCAGCGCTTCGAGTGTGATCTTGAGCGGAATTGAGCACGTTTGCCATGTCGGTGATGTTCTTCTCGAGACAGTCGATGCATACGAATCGCAGCTGACTGACTGGAGCTTCGGAAACGCAATAAATGGTCTCCTTCGTTGTTGTGCCCAGCATCGTCCAGACGATTTGATTCAGTTGCTGAGCATTGGAGACGGCAAACGGCATGCCGGTGATCTTCACCTGGGCTCCGAGCATTTGCTGCATTTGAGCTGGAACATACGAAGATTTAAGTCACAAATTTGAAAGCAGAGAATTCTAAAAAGCTACAGTCTAGGACTTTGGGAAACTTACCGTAACTTCGCCCGACCATTAATAGTAGTAACAATATCAACGTCTTCATGGCCTTAAACGATTCAGATAGCGAAATTTCTAAAGGGAAAGCGAAAGTAAACAAAAGCGACATCAAAAAAGAAACAGTAATGATCAATATGCGGCTGATGACATGCATGGAGCACGCGTGTGAGTACAAAAGGAGGCGATTGAGAGACGGACGGAGGGAGGAGACGGTGGAGCTGCGTGGAGGCAGTGAGTGACCTCAAGCGGCGGCGCAGACACACACAGCAGGTCAATCAGACTACCTGACCGCAAATAAGCCCGAATAAGGCATAGCTGGCGGAATTTCTCAGGAACGTCACTGAGTTCGGCCGTGCACAAAAATAAGGCCTCAATTAGCGCATTTTCAGAATTTACAGGCCCGTTAGCACGCCTCGCTAAAAGATTTCAGGAAGGTTTTTGCAAAAGAAACCTGAACAAAGTGGACAACTTAGGGAAGAAGGGGGAAATGAGCGGTGCTTTTGAGGTTCGATGCTCAACACTTCCCCGTATAAGTCTACCCACCACAAGTGAGCCAGCTTTCTAAGATGAGCTTCATATGGCGTCTCACTGAAGATGATGGGAGGTACTTTAGTGGGGGGGGGGGGGTGTTGGCCACCTGTATTAAACGCCGTTTCCCACCCCCACTCAAGAAGTCAGGCGAAGAAGTCAAGGGGAGGATCGCTCTAAAAACTACAGAGACCCTCATTCTTCTGTCAACAATACATATACTTCCTAGCAGGTCATATAAAGTATGACTCATCGATAATAACCAAACTCGGCAGAACGTCATGAAATGAGGTCAAACCGTTCATTTCAAATTAAACGAAGCAAATCGTGGAGGCATTTGACAATAAATCGAAAAGTGCATGCAGCAAGTGCACCCGCGCAAAACTCGGACAAAGACGGTAATGTCGGTGTTGGATTTCGTTGTCACTCACGACGCCCCTTCAAATGGGATCCACCTATCAACAGACCGAGACCGCTATTTCTCGGCTTCGTCTTGGATTTCGACCGCTTTGCAGCCAATTCTTCTACAGACAGGTGACCTACAAACTTCGATGAAGTAAACACACGATTTCTACGGCGGTAACGTTTGTGACTAAGTCGACGCTAATCTACCTATTACTCTCAAACCTGATCGTCAGCATAGTCGAATACGACCCGCTTCTGCGCCCTCGTCGTTCGCCGTCTACGGAGACCGATCGCCCTGCGGATGCTATGGATAACGACATGCAAATATGGTGCGTCTCCACATCCCACCGACGTCTCATAATGGAAACATGTTTTCCGATGCCAGTCGTGATATCATCTTTACAGCCTCATTCACTCACGAACGTCCGCTTCGCTTGGACCCGTCACTCCGTACGAGCGGATGATTCAACGAAGCTGGACGGCTTCTTTTCAACAAGTTTCTCAGCGCAATCGATAGTCGAATCGAGATGAACAAAGCAGTTTGACGTTAGAATGAGGTTTGACCCCTAACGTTGACCACATAAAACTGGTTTGCTTTGGTATGCGAAAAATGAGTCGACCCGTCGACGACACAGATAGAGGCCGGAAACGAAAGTAGGCAAGTGATACGATCGAAGCAATTCACTGAGGAGCTACCCGAGCTACCGTAGGGCTAAAGTGTCGCGTGCGATATGTCCACAAGCGAACACCTTGTGATAATTGGGAGCTGAGGTGGTAATTGTCTGCCTAGAGGAATCTCATAATGCATCAGTCACATCTGTATCAAATAGCAGCAGTTTCGAGCGAGATTCGAATCACTACAGAGTAGAAGAGTGCGTGGTAATAAAGTGGAAAATGCTAGGTTTCTGGTGATGAATGGGCGAAATCGTCAAGCGACCAGGGGATGCTCGCAAAGGTGCTAAATTACCGGGCTGAATGTCGGGGTATCAAGGTTTTGGCGAGGCATTATAACAAATCCTGGAAATCAACATGGCAATGTTTGTTAGAAGCAGGTGTTTTGGGCAGCAGCTGGAACGGAATAATTAAGCCTATCGGAAGCTTGACATGAACGCGGCCAGCAGTCAGCGATTCTTCGTAATGGCTGCAAAAAACAGGTGATATACGTTGGAATACGAAGATCGTCGTGGAAAATGAGAAGTGTGTTTCTTAAAATGATCTGAGCGGAAGCGCGATTTTCCAGGCTCTGCAAAGGACAACAATTGCGCGAGGATCCAAATGTGGCTAGGTGTAAAGTCGCTACGAAAACGCAACCCCGTTGCAATCTACGAACTTATCGATTACGCACGATTTAGCGTAAGTCGATGGCAAGACAGGGGAGGTGATGTTCTGTGTCAAAGTATTTAGCTATTGTTCTCATCCAATGAACGACAGGTGCATGATGAACGGACGAACGGCTCTCCATATGGATCTGATAGCGCGTGATCGTTATTCTAAGTGATTCAGGCCACACAACGGGGGTGAAGTGAACTATTCGAAGGAAGCGCGGGGGTAAAAAAGGTGAGCGAAGGAAAATTTGGATCGTAATTCGACGGTGAGGATCGGCACACATGCAATACACTCACACCACGCACGAACATGATTGAGGAGCGAGCAATCTCCCCAAGGTCCTCCGGGACGCTTGAACCTGTTCCACCATCGAAATCGATTGTCCGGGGTAAACACGCTCAAACACTATGATACTATGTAGTTTACAAATACAGTTTGACGTAACAACAAGTAAGTTCAATATGAAAAAATAGAAAAAATCAAGACTCTGCAAAGTGATATTGCGATGGACTAAAAATGATAGTTCTCTTGATTTAACAAGTAACATATCTACTTTGGGGAATCGATTAGGTATAGTAAAAAAGGTTATGAAAAATGATTGCTGGTTATAGGTGGTGGTAGTACAATCGACGTTTGAGGATGGGCGGCGGCGAGCTCGGCCCATGGGCGGGGTCGCTCGCACGATATCTACATAATATCGCAGTCCACCTAAACCACCCACTGAGTTCGGACTATTTCGCCTCCTTAACACTAATGACCACCTCCGCTGTCATCAGGGGATTCCACGTGGTGATGGACTAAAAAGGCGACAACACGATCATGAACGATCTAAAAAGTCGGATAACTCCACAATTCGAAAAGTTCGTAGAAATGTGACCAAATGAAGAGGGGTTTCACAGAAAGAAATGTGAACAAGAAACCCAAAAGGGTAGGTTTTTTGGTAATCAAACACTATCCGAGAACGCGAAATAAGTGGTTCAAACTTGTGATCGTGCATCACAGGCTACCAGCTTCCGCCAGGGTTGCCCGTTTTGTGGCATTTGTGTCCCGCTGTGATGTGAGAGTCAACGTGGAAGAAAAGGGAGAGGAAAAGTGAAAAGGAGGGAAGGGGGAGGTGAAGAAGTTCTTGTCATAGGGAAAGATAAAGGATAAGTGATTACAACGACTGGAATGAATTTCTGCAGAATCCGTTTATTTAATCTTAAAAAAGGAAAACCTCCACGAAAAGAGAAACTTAGAAAGCAGGGGCGAAATTTGCAACTGTTCGCTTGTTAGTTGATAGTGATAGTAGTTGATGTACTAATAATTATACAAGTTAACACATGTACCAGCCCGCCTCCAGGTTCTTTTTCGAAAATCGTTGCCTACATACTGTCTGGGGGTGGGCTGAGCGCAGTAAATACTGATACAATGACCGGTAGTTGTGCAAGCCGTAGGACTCCAAACGAGGCAGCTATTAAACCCAGCCAAAATGGGAAATACTAGTTTTCTCAGAGAGGCTACACATACAGGGTAACGCACTCTACATTTCGCCAGAGGCTATGCTCAGACGTCAAGGTAACTAGCTAACGTTTACTCCTTCTCAACCCGACTATCGTTCCGATATGAGGTGTTTCTACCTTTAAAATCCTTCGGGATCATTCGCTAACCGTTTGCCGCTTTATAAAGCATGGAAATGAACTAGCATTTCTGACCCCATTTCGACCGTCATTGACGTCGTTAGAGGTTTCTGCGGACAGCTCATCCATTACAAAACCAGAATACTTGGTACAACAACACTGTTACTCTACTTTTCGAGTAAGTTTTGACACCAGCATTTCGAACACTATAAATGAATAGATAATAGTACCAGTGTGAACAGATTGAGTTTTTAGTCATCATCAGGACCTTGACGCCTTTTTAAAGTGTACTGCACTGCCTCACAACCTCCCGTTAAGTAAGTATAATCCCGTAGATCAAAAATAAGTTTCTTGGGGTCCAGGTTATTAGGCTATCACTACGAAATTTCCAAGGCATGGATACGTTCAACTGCCCGGACCGACTGAAGGAATGGATGACAACACGGTGAAGAAGAAGTTTTTGGCGAAAAATTTGAGAATCCCACGAGGCAATGTGCTTAGTATTAATGTTACGAAAATGGCTATTTAAGGCCTGAGCACACTCGGGTTTCCTGATTTCTGTGCAGAGAGCATGTCATACTGACGTACTATGGAAAAATCAGCTGAAAGTACTCAAAACACTCTAAGCAAAATCGTACAAGAAAAAAAAATGAAAGTATGAAATATGCACAAACAATTGAGGCGGCAACCGATCAGGAAGGGAACGATCATAAGTGTCCTATCCTCATAATCTCGATCTTGTCTGCTACCATCCACTCTAACTCTCCGCAAGCTGACAATGATACAGCTCTGTGACCCTTAGGAAGAACGCGGTTCCAAGACCGTACTTTGCTTTATTTCCTTACTTACGCTCGAACTTTAGGAAGAAGCGGCAGTCTGCTGAAAGCGATGATATAGAGAAAGAAATTGAATGAAGCTGAGAGAGAAGGACGTGTTTGAGCTCGTCAATCAATTGTCCCGTTAACCGTTACACTATCGTTCATCCAGTTTTTCCACGAGCATTTCATCAACAGCGAATGGTGCTGCCCATATAAGCCGAATTTAATGAATGAAGAACATTCAAACATCATAATGGGCCGATAAAAGCGTTCAGGACAGGGCGAGAGAAGCGACTGAGGAGCAACCCCATGAGGTACGTGGGGCTAGTGAACCAGCTTTTGAATTGGGCAGCGTCGATCGTCGTCGATGACTGGGCAGTTTTCTGAAGGCCGAATGCCAGTTTTTCGTGAAC